GATGACCATAGCATCCATTAAATTTTACGAGTTGGCAAAGGAGTTGCAGAAAAAGAAAGGTAGAATTGTCTACCGAGGTGACTGCGCAAAGGACGAACATGGCGCAGCAGCCGTCTATGAAGAATTAGGCGCAAATCCGACTTCGGTCCAAGGGCTGAACGCTTGCCTCGCGTACGGGTCACTACCTGGTAACCTGTGCACCGCCGCGGATGCGGTGAAAGCGTATGTGCAAGCAACACTATAAATCCAAGTATAAAACTTGGATCGAATTACCACCTGAACTCCGACCCGCATGGTGGAAGAACAAATTTGTTCAACCAGTGGTCCTTCTCGTTAAAGCGCTGTATGGACATCCCGACGCTGGAGGGATGTGGGAACAGCATTTAAAAGGCATTCTTAAGAATATGGGTGGCGAAGAAATCCCAGAGTTCCCCGGTAACTTCTGGTTTTCTGGCCCTCGTTTAATGTTATCTACATACGTTGACGACCTCACTTTGGCAGGCCCACGGGGACACCACCAAAAGTTTTGGTCAGAACTCACAAATGTTGTTAACGTTGAACCACCCGAGCCTATTTACAGAATGCTAGGAAGGAACCACATCTACGCGGTAGTCCCAGATTCAGGAAACACCGAAACCGCTGCTTTGCGCGGTAGTGCTGACGCCCTAATCTTCGACATGAAGGACTACGCGCAGCAAACCATCGACCTCTACAAGTCGGTGGCCGGTGTTGAAAAGATAAAGTCAGCCCAGACGCCATTTCTCGCAGACGGCACATTCACCACGGCTGATGAGGAGTCGCCCGGAGAGCTCGCACCAAAAGCGTGTTCTATCCTGATGAAAGCCCTCTGGCTTGCCAGGTTAGCACGACCCGACATCCTTAAACCAATCAACGATCTAGCCACTAAAGTACAGAAGTGGACCCGTGTGCACGATAAAAAGTTGCTACGGCTAATACAGTACATTCAGCACTCGCTAGACTATAGGTTAACCGCCGTCTGCGGCGATGATTCTAGTGAGCTGTGGCTAGAGTTGTTTGTCGATGCCGACTTTGGTGGCGACCAACATGACGTGAAGTCCACCTCCGGTGGGTACTTAGTGCTCAAGGGCCCTAACACCCATTATCCACTAGCATGGGTGTCAAAGCGCCAGACCTCCACGTCAAGATCCACTACAGAGTCAGAAGTAGTAAGCTTGGCCTATTCGTTGTATCAAGAAGGTCTTCCTTCGTTGCAGCTATGGGATAAACTTCTTGGGCGGGCCATGAACCTCGTCATACAGGAAGATAACCAAGCCACGATTCTAGTAGTAAGGAAGGGCTTTTCCCCTAAGCTACGACACATCAGCCGAACACATAAAATAAACCTCAGTTCGTTAAAAGAATGCATCGACGACCCCTCTGTCGAGATTAAGTACATCGATACGAATGAACAAGCCGCCGACATTTTCACCAAGGCGTTACCACCACAAAAGTGGTTCAAATCGCTATGCTTGCTTGGCATCCGTACGGATTTAAAGTGCTTAGTCCCATCTAAGACAGATAGAAGCCTTCCAAGCAGTTCGAAGCCTTCGTAGGTCGTCGAAACCGCTGCCACCCGGCGCGGTAATTCATGCATGTACAAAGGAATGCTGCCCCAAAACGGGGAGGGGGGAGTCATTTTCTGTGAACCCCTACTATGTAACAGCTATTCACTACTTGTACATGTCTATCTATTTAGCTACGGTTCACTAAAGCATGTAAAACACATGCTTCAACCGTTGCTCTTGGCTCAAGAAAACAATCGCAGCCGCGTGCGTTTTCTTCAGGGCGCCGGGTTAACCAACCTGTGGTTGGCTCTCCCTTTCGCACTTGCTTTCGCGCTCTTTCGTTGCTTTCGCACTTCGTTCGGTCGTTCGTTCGCCGTCGTGCCTTCGTCCGACCGTCCTTGCAACCACGGGGTCTCGTCCTTCGGACTCGCCCAGGGTTGTAATTAATATAGACCGTGCTTCCAGGGATTTAGCTTACTTCTTTTATCACTTACCTGTTGATAGAATAAGCTGGGCGTTCCCTTACGTCCCACCTGGATTGTACACTCAATTTTGTTGCCTCAAAACAGCAGGGTGTTAGTGGCACTTTCATCATCGCAAATGAAATTCAAAACATCTCAAAACGAGACCATGTTGATCCACCTTTAGGCCTTTTTAGGCCCCCCAGGCCAGAGGTCCACATGAGTTCACAATGGGTTTCAGTAGCAAGAAAAATAGAGCCATAGAACACTTTGTGTCACATGTGGGACTGTCAATCAGTAAAAAGAAGAAGCAGCCACTGTGGGTGCGTAGCTATAGGCCTTCATGTTGGAAGTGCTGATAAAACGATAGGGTCGGGAACAAAAAACGATACCCATCTCTTGATGTCCTTTTCCGCATGTAAGAGGTTTAGATCGCCGCTCACCTAGCAATTCACTACTTGTACTTTTTGTAGTTGTCCCGACAAGCTAAAATTCCTCACTGTTCCTGTTACTGTAATAAATGCATTCACTCCAGCAGAAATCGACGCAGGAGAATGAGGCGGCTGCAGCATGTGAAGTCGAGGACAAACTCGCGAAACATCACTGCCATGTTTGCCTTGTTGTAATTCAGGCGCATTTGCGAGTGCATCAAGGTTCAAAAACACAAGTACAAGTACGCAGCCCTCCAACATTACATATGCTGTGTGCTTGCTTGGATGCATCGTGGGCCTGGTGGGGTTTTCACTTTGCAGGAGCTATGCGCAGTTCTGCAAAAGCTGAAGTGCCTTGATTAGCATTGTGCACATGAGATGCATCAGACTCCGCCTTCTCATCCTCGCAAGGCACTCCCAGAACCCAGGATCAAGACCGTGGATTGCAGCCGGAGCAAAACTCCTACAGTAGTCAGTAGTCTGACCCTCGTTTCAACCCATCAGCAATTGGGGCATCCATTGCTCGGCGACTTACACATGACTCTGCGGTATGACAAGGCCCCTTGGGCAAAAAGAAGGTGTATGTCGGAGTGTACCTAAGCCACCTAAGTTCACGGTATACAACCAATGCTGTCTTTGACTGTGAAGTGAAGGCAGGGCCATGCAGTGGCTAGGCAGCTGGAAAAAACATCCGCGATAAATGCCTCATGCCAGCTTGCGCGAGTAATCGCATTGATCTGCGGAGACACTCCAGCGTGATGGCAAATGCATACCCGGTAGAGGGATCTCAATAGAATGGGGACCATTTACATCTACAAAATGCAGTTCAGGGGCCCCATTTCTATAGTGAGGGTACCCTGGATAGCCAAAACCTGAACATGGCATGCTGTAGAGTGGTCATCTTCACACATGTAATCCTGCGTCATACAAGATAAGACATGTTAAATGTCATTTTATAGAGAATCTGATTTGGAGTGTTTGGAACATTGGAACATGTTGGTGAAGTGACATCACAATCTATTGCAAAACACTGTGCTGTCCATTCTGAGAATGTTCTGTTGGAATTGCATTTCATAGAATGTAGACACAGCAAGCCTCTCATTCATCCAGGTAGACCCAAGGGTCTAAAATGCCTCGTCAAGGCAGTGTGAATGCCCCAACCCTTAAAACCTTTCAAAAGCTGCGACAAGACATTTCAACCGATCTGCAATAGTAATATTAGCCTGTACATGAAGTTGGAGGAAAAACCAGCGAAGAAATGGAACAGGATGGCACAACCACCCCTAATGGTCCATAAAATGCCTTTTCCAGTGTCCTTCTGTTCGATTGTCATTTCATAGACTTCGAGTGATCCCCACCATAGCATTAAATATACCCTGCAAGAAAGTGGCGATCTTGCATATATACTTGTATGTATTACATATACAGATCATGGCATTCTATCCGGCATATATTCTGGCATTCTTTCTGGAATATACTCTCACAGTATAGTTGGTATTCTATCGGGCATTTGCTGACATTCTTTCCGGCATTCCTACCCACAGCGATCTAGCCCTCGCGGTTGAGGCCCGGTAGTGCCCACTGCGATCCACCCCGCGACAAGGAACAGGAGGAGGACGAGAAGACAGCTCTTATATAACAACCCTCACCTGGCAGGTGAGGAGTCAAGATTTATACACCACAGAACTTGATCTGATCATTTCGTAGACGCAAGTGATTTGTTATTGCTCTAAGGTTGGTCACCTCCTTTGACAAACTTACTGGCCCGGCGATTTTTAGGGTGCCAAGGTTGTACATCCCTTGGGCAGGACCATCATCATCATCATCATCCAGCACTGTGCGGGGAGTAGGACATACCCAATACATCCCTTTTTTGGGAGAGGTTTTATGTAGAAAGTGCTTCGTAAGAGCCTCAAATACTCTCTCCACCGGGTATGCAAATTCCATGTTTTGCGATGTCACATGTGCAATGTCTTCCGGTACATGGAACCTGGTCTCCTTTCTTCCTGTCCTCTCCAAGTGGTCTGCAAAAGGTCCTGGCCTCCTACGAACGACAGCTCTTGGATTTCTCACACCACCTTTGCCATGATTAGTATTTTACGTTGCACGCCTCCTCGCATCCACTCACGTATGAAAATATCAAAAATTGTCAATTTAATGACACTTGTTCTGTTGCGCTTGATTGCAGCTTTGTGAACATGAGGACCCCCTTTTTGCACACTCTGTCACACCTACTGGTTGACCTTGCAAAATGCGTTTTTTTGCGAGGTAGATCGCAGAACTGCAAGCAGGTTTAGATAGCTTTAGCATGAACATCTCATGTAGCATCATGCAGCATGATTGGGGCAAAGGTGGTGGCTACATTGGTTGCAAGGCTGGGGTTCAGGGGGGTATGCGGCGATCGTCCTTGTATGAAGCTGGTATGAATTGGTGCGAAATCCGCTCGACTGTTTGTGCAGTCGCATCAAATAAATGATAGCGTCCCAAGCTAAAGAGTTGGTTGGCTAGAGCTAAGGCTCTATGAGAAGAGAAACTACAGGCTCTAGCTACATAGCAAGAGAGTGTAGAGATGCAAATGGGGCATGCATGAACATTTGTTTCCCGATCCGCGCATCCTTTTTGACATTCCTTTGCTTGAACTTCGGACGGTTCTATTTGTTCTGCAGGGCAGCCTGAGAAGGCAAGTAACACCACAAATGTCCTTTCCTTGCCGAAGTCAGTTGCTGTGGTTTGCTTCAAGGACACATATTCCTACAGACAAATCAGACAATGATATCGTGCGTTTGAAGCTGAGCATGCTGACACATTTGCTAGTGCCTCAGGACATTCCTGCTTGGGATCTGCCTGCTTTTGTACCTGACAGGCTTTCAAACAAATGGCGGCGGCGTGCAGATTGTGTTTCTCCCTTGGAGCCATACTCCCAGACAGGGGCCGAGAGTACTGTTCTACCACAGGGCCATGTTGCATAATGCATTTCATGTTACTCTCAAGTGCTAGCAACAATGCGTGTGCTGCTGGAACCTTTTATTCGTGCACAGTGCGGATTCTGATCACTACCTCGCTCACTTGTTCCAGGAGGTAGTAACCTCTGAGAGGATGACTACCAAGATGCTCTGTGTGAGACGACTTGCAGGTTTGTAGAGTCCAAAGCTGCCCAAGCTCAAAATGGTCAGTGCAGAGCGGGTTTCGGGATGTCTTTCACATTACTTGACGGTGGCTTCAGGATCCAGAAAGGGGCACTACCAGGGGACCCGTTCATGGATCGCGAGATCGAAGAGCAACGAGTGAGCCATGAGGTAAACCCTCTTGTGCGATCCTGCGCGTAAGCAAACACTGTGGTGGCGTAAGGGCTGTGCAAGATTCAGCGCAAGCCCGACGTTAAGACCTTATATATTGTCATCGAGGCGCGTAAGCAACACCTCCAGTGGCGTAAGGGTGCATAAGCAGTGGCGTAAGCAAACCTTGATCAACCTTTGCTAACTTGCTAACTACGTCCTCAAAATGTGAGTGCACGATTCAACCTTCCGGGTTTTTCCAGAATCAGCTCCAGACGCTTTAGAGCTACTCATGATCTGTCGCAAATTCATCGCGTTGAACTGCGACCTGTTCAGATCGAATTTCCTGCGCACCATGACTGGAGTGGTGGCCCACTCTCAGCTCTTTTGGATCCACATTATGGCCTGGACCCCTTGGTCCCCCAACTTTTGCTCGCACTGAGACTTGCTGCGGATCTGGTGCAGCATAAGGCGTCAGCATAGGCTTCTACTGGTCAAGGTTTCGTGGATATTTCAACCCTCGCGCGCCACCTAGGACTCGATCATCTCTAGACTCTAGACTCTAACTATGAAAACACGGATGTGGAAACTCGTGTTGTATCGCGACCGCACGAAGTGTCGAGATGGAAGTGAAAAAGTGACTGCGTCTCTTTTAGCATGTGCGTAGCACGTGTGAGGCTTCAAGGGGCCCCTGCATTGGCGCAGGAGAACCAGAGTGGCAGCGGCCATCGGCCAAAAACTGCTCAAACAGGATTGCACGGCGTGAAATCCACACCGGTGGTGGTCTTTGTGAACCACTCAGTAGGATCGCCAGTGCTCTAAGGCCTTTTGGCTGCAGAAAGCGCAGCAGTTCCATTGTCGCAGCTGCGTGGAGTCAGCTGAAGCTATTGCTTGGCAGTCCGCATTGGTGTGGTAGGACTTGCCGGTTCGGGTCGTGATGACCGCGTCGGGGATCCAATTTCTGGAGAGCTGGTCACGGACCGCAGCTAAGCGGTTGTGCGCATCGATCCAGTTGTCGCGGGCCTTCTTGTACTCGGTGTCGATCTCGCGCATCTCCACCCTCATGTACTCTCGGATGTCGATGAGCTGTTCGATCTCTTCTTCTTGTGCTCTGCATTGGGCTTGTAGGTCAAATAGTTCAGCATCTTGGTCTCTCACGATGTCTTGCAGCCGCAGGTTCTCGGTGCGGAGGACACCAAAGGAGGTTTCAGGCTCCTTCTCAGTCTGTGTCTCGGCCGCTGTAGAGCTCGTTGAAGTCATAGTCCAGGTCGTTCTTGTAACTGAGGAGCTCCAGGATGAAGTTCCGTTGTTGCCACAAAGGAAACGCCACAGCAGCATGCCAATCACAATGACATACAGGGTCACGGTCATCTCGGGTGACAGCATAGTTGCTATGACCTCATCCACCGTCATGGCCTTGACTCCAATCATCTGTGAGGTGAGGACTGCAAAGGCCAAGTGGTTGGGGTTGCCAGTCCGAGTGATGGCATGGCGTCTTGCGCTTGCCTGTCGCTCGGCCAGGGTCTTCTTCTTGGATGCCTGAAAGGAGACATCAGCTTGTAGTGAAAGGTGGTGAGAGCGAAGACGATCGGCAAAGAGCTGTCTGGCGGCATACTTGGTGACTCCATCGGCCATCTGAGCCTCAGACGAGACCCATTTCAACCGGGACTTCATTGCCAGCATCTTTTGCTTGGTCACCATGACTTCAATCTTTGTTCTTTTGTCGCCCTGTAGGTTGGGTGTTTCAGCCTTGAGCGAGTCGTAGAGCGCCTTGGCGTCAACCACCAGTGACGAGGGCATAGTTGGTGAAAACTCGTCCACCTGCCGGAGTTGGAAGTCGTGGCGGGTGCAGCCCTCCCAGAAGATCAACAGGTACTCCAGGGCGTCCATGGCGGCTGAGCATGCCTGGCTCTCAGCATTGAGTGATGAACGACTCACTCTTGGCAACTTAAAGCTTCTCCAGTCCAGGACGATGTAGTCTTGTGTGGAGCCGTCTTCCAGAATCTGCTGGTTGCAGAGGAAGATCACATAGCCACCTTGGGATTCGCTGTTGCGACGAACTCCCCAAGCTGCATCGCTCATGGCCACCATGCAAAGCTTCTCCATGTCTCCTCCAAGATCTCGAAAGATCAGTGCAGCGTCGCTGTTGTTCTTGGCAAAGCGGAGGAGCTTGTTGGCTTGAGCTGCGGTGTCACCTGTAGCGGCTGTGACTTCGCCGCAAAGCAAAGACACTGAAGCGCTCAAATGCGGAGAGGTGTGAGTGGCAGGCCATTGGAGTGCTCCAAGAAGAGCTCTGAGGCAACTTTGTTCCTTGTTGTTGAGGGCACGGTTGGCATCATAGTCATTGCATGTCATGGGCTTGACCTTCTTGAAGTAGTCGCTCTGGTGCAACTTGGACTCGGTGTTGTCTCGGCTCAGGTGGCAGCCGCAGAACTCCAGGGGTGTGTCTCCCTCTTCGGTCCAGCGCTTGAAGTTAAAGGCTTCCTTCAGCTTGGACTTGAGGTGCTCGTATTCAGAAGAGCCGGTTTTGCCACAGCCCAAGAGGTCGTCGACGTGGAGTCCCACCATGGAGATCAGGTTCTTGTTGGAGTCGTGGTAGGTGAAGAGGCACTGATCCAGTGGGTGAGCTCGATATCCAAGGCTTTCAAGTCGCCTTCTGGCCACGATGAACCATTGCCTTGGGGCGTCGGCTTGACCGTAGATGGGCTTGATCAGCCTCATCAATGTTCCAGCAGGAACACCGATGATGTTGCAGGCGTCTCGTGGAATCCGAGCCCAAAGAACACGTTCTTGAGGATCACCTTGGAGGAATGCCGTACTGACGTCGGCTGTCCAGCGTTTCCAGCCAGAAACTTGGCTGATAGCCAGCAACACTTGTCGGGAGGTCCTTGCCAAAGTCGGCGATGAAGTGTCCAGAGCGCCATTCAACAAGTCGGGGTCAGAGAACCCTTGCAGGACCAAACGGGCCTTGGCCTTGAGGCCGCCCTTGCCATCAGCTGCCCACTTCAAGACAAAGCGAGCTTTCATCACTCTGTTGTGGTCGACAGAAGCGGGGTCGGTCTCAATCTCCCAAACTCCATTTTCGAAGATGCTTGAGAGCTCTGCTTTCTTGCCCTCCAGGAAGGTCAGGCGGTCCTCCAGCGACATCCGACGCTCATTGAGGTCAGCGCTCTCTTTGACATGTTTCTTTCGAGGAGCGCCCATGCCAACTGCTTGCCAGATGTGGCCTCGGCCACGCAAAGTCTTGCATCTGCGAAGCTTGTTGGCGAGGTCGCCGATGTAGTGAAGACCATAGTGCTCTGCACCTGCCTGTGTGAGAGGGTACAGGGTTTTGCCAGTCCATCCATCAGTGAAGTACTGCTCCTCGGTGGAGTTGACATAGATGGTGCGAGTTCCCTGCTGCATTGACAGACCGGTGGTGGTCTGCAGAAAGTCAGTAGAGACCGGAAACTCTTCAGGATGGTAGGTGCTTGTTCTGCTCCAAACGTGGTTGCGGACCAAAAAGCCGTCCTCGAAGCTCCACCAATCCTGAGTGACTCCCAAGACAAACTCATTGTTCTTCTTGTCGTAGCTCCAGCCTTCTGGAAGCGTGGTCTTGGAGAAGTCCATGGAGTGGAGGCCAACTTCAACCTCTGGCTCGTCAGTGCGAGCTTTCTTTCTTGTCCAATGGTTTCCTGCTGATCAAAGCGTCGTCGTCGATCTTGAAAGCTTTCCGGCACAGCAGGTGTGATGTAAGTAGCATCCACTGGCATTGGACCTTGTGATGAAGTCGGTGGTGCTTCAGGAGGTTGATCCAAGTCGTGGTCCTCGGGGACTGCAGGAAGATCAGCAGGATCACGAGGTGCCTTGGGTGTCTGCATGTGTGCTGGTTCGCCCATTGGTTCTTCATCTTCATCTTCATTTTCTTCCATTTCCAACGGTCGAGGTCCTTCTTGTTCTTGTGGTGGATCAGGTAGGTCATCATGAACCTCTGACGGAAGGGGATCTTGATCATGTTGATCCTCAGTTGCTTCCTGTGTTGGAGGAAGTGAATCAGGTGGCTCTCGTGGAGGCTCTTCACGTCGAGGTCGTGAGGGTGCGGACCGAGCAGCGTGCTCCAAAGCGGGCTGTTGTTGTCCATCAGGTTCTCCGGGAGAAGCCATCGTGGATGGTTGAGCCTCGGTGTCGGTGGGAGTGTACTCCAAGTCGCTCACCTCAGGGTCAACTTCATCGATGGACCGCTTGTTGGAGCGTCGAAGGTCGACGATGCGAACTGCTCGCCGCTGCCTCAGGTCTCGTAGGGCCTGTTGAACTCGAGCTGAACCGTCGACGGCGCCATTGTCGTTGACCAACTTGCGAACGTGCTGAGTACTGGCACGAAGGAGAACAGTTCCATGAGCCAGCCAATAGCAGGACACGGTGCCAGTGTCAGGGTTTCTCTCGATGGCCAGAACGATCGCAGGACCCTTCCAGCGAATGGTGTGTGCTCGATCAGCAGCATCTCGCCAGTAAAGACAGCGTTCTCCAGGATGAAGGTCTTCATCACGTCCAGTGTACCTGCGAAGGAGAGCTCGGCGCAACTTGACATCAATTTCAGCCTTGCCGCAGGCCTGCTGGGCTGAGAACTTCAAAGTGAGGCGTCTGTGAAGCCGCTCCTGCTCGGACATCTGAAGTTGTAGTGGTCCAGTACGTTCATCAGAAAGGAGTCCGGGCAT